AAAAGTTCGCAAAGAATATTGTGACTAAAGGCGGGGCCAAAGCTATACATCACTTCTGTAAAGCTTATGAATTAACCAAGAATTTAGAATACAGTTACAGTAAGGAGGATGGCTTCGAGCTAAAGCTCTCCCCATTTGATCCCATTCGAGTTGAAGCTAAATATGCGGACTCCGAGAAAATGGGCTTTAATTTGGTAGCATTTCAACTACATTATCAATTTTATTTGTTAGTCCAATCACTCTCTCTCTCTCTTTCTTTCTTTCTTTCTTTCTTTCTCTCGATCTAAACTTTAAAATATAATATAACTTTTAATAAAAGATATTTTATTTGTTTAAATACATGTTTTATAACAATAAAGGTATGTTTCGGTATTTATTATCTTAATCTTTATTATAACACAAGGAATTCAAATTGTTTTTAATATTTTTCAGATTTATATTTTTATTTTTATACAAGTATTTTAATATTTTAGTAAAGCTAAACATATGGTTAAAATGTTTTAAAATTTAAACTTTTAAAATCATTTAAAGTAAATCTAAACGAGAGTCAAAACAAATATCATTCACACAATCGAGGGATTGATAACAATACACAGTATAAATACAGTACAGAATAAATAATTGTTAAATAAAAATATAATTTTCATAAATAAATTAATTTATGAGACGAAGTGTTGAGTAAAAGTTATTTAACCCTAGAAGCTTAAACTGGGAGAATAGTCTCCCATTTGCACTTTGAATTACAATTAAAAATCAATGAAGAGTGCTAGCCGGGAAAAAATCCATTAATGCCTCATAAATTGTTAGATTTAAAAATTTGTAAAATTATATGTTCATAAATTATATGAATAATTAATTATCATAGTTAAAATAAAGTTTGGGATATTATTCTCCCAGTTTATGTGTTATGTGACTTTTTCCCTACAGTATAAATAGTGCTAATTTCAATCTGCCTTTACTGCATAAACTGGGAGATTTATCTCCCAGCATTAAACTGCATAAACTGGGAGAATAATCTCCCAGCATAAAACACACTAAAGCATGGGATATTAATCTCCCAGTTTATGCACAAACTGCTGGGAGATTTCAATCCCAGTTTATTTGCAACGTATATAATTATAGTTTAAGCTTTAAGGGTTAAAAATAAGTTTTCATATATTATAGCGAATGGAAACACAAATCGAGGCATTGATCACAAGCTTTGAGACAAACACACAGTATATGAGAGTTAAGTCTTGAGACAACTTTCTGTACGCTTTAAACTGTAGAGTAAAACACTAGACGTCTCTCTCTCTCTCTCTCTCTCTCTCTCTCTCTCTCTCTCTCAACCGCTTCTGCGCTCAAAAATACGTTTAAACCCTTATTTCCAACCCTTCGTTGAAAAATATTTCATGTTTTATACGCAAAGCTTACGTTTTCATTACATAACATAACATGTTATATCTTATTGTTGAATATTAGCCTAAGTATTGATCTATGTATATTTAATATAGTATTGTAATAAATAATACTCAATATTATACAAAACTTGAATATAATTTATGAAATGTAGTTATGCTGTACTATTTGCATAACTTTTACAGTAAACAATTTGAACATTTGGTATCATTTGATTCATTTGATTCATTTGCTTTATTACCAGAATTACGTTCAATACATTTATTAATCTAATCATTAATAAAATCATTCTTTGATTTACTCACAAGATATGACACAACAGATGAAACACTTGAAGACATCACTTGAGACCACAGATGACGGCAATGAAGACAACAGACAACAGGTATTGATATTTAAAATATCTATCAAAATACAGTATTTTACAAACAATTCACTGTTTATTGATTTTCATTATTTTTATTTAAAAATTTAGACACAACTGTTTGCGAAGAACTCAATGGACAGATTCGGTGATGATTTGTGTGCACTTCTTGTGTCTTATATCTCACTCGAAGATCGGTTTCGATTGGAATGTGTGTCCAAACAGTTCCAGAGGACAGTCTTCGGGAGTGTTGTGGACATCACTCTTAGCGATGAATTTATTATTTATTTAATGTCGGGAACATTAATTAACACCCAATTGTTGGCCACAATTGCCAGAAAGTTTACAAACATTGGGTCCATTGACTGCAGAGAAATAACTTATGGATTCTATGGAAAAATTTCCCACATGTTGAAAACATTTCGTGACAATTGCCGACATTTGCGTGAAATATACGCAACGATATGGCAAATGCATAGCCAATGGATGCATCCGTTTGAATCACTGGTCACAACAATTAGTTATACTCAACGAGAACCCAATTTAAGATATTCACTCACAACGTATTGGTCACAATTAGTCAAGAATTTGCATACAATTGAGTTAAACGACTATTCGGCCCAAAATAACCGACTGTTGGCCGCATTCGCCGCACAGAATCAGTCCATCAGATCTGTTGTCTTCTACTCATTTGAACGTCCAATTGAGAGCACTTTAGTTGCATTCGGTCAACCATTTTCACGATTAACACAATTACAGGAATTAACACTCAATTTACGTCTAATGAATGCCGAGAACTCATTGTCTGAGTCTTTGCGTACAATTGGCTTAAACTGCAAACAATTGCAACGATTGACACTTACATTGCAATCGTATTACAAACTCAATGGCAATTCATTGGATTCATTGAATAGTTATCACAAATTAAAACGTTTGGATTTAACACTAAATGATGTCTTAAATGCGGGAATATTGGAACCGTTAAAACTCTGCCACCGATTAACACATTTAGCACTTAATATATTGGAAATGAGTAACCAATTGCTGGATAATTGTGGTAAACATTGGCCACGACTTCAATATCTATCCATCAAAAGTCGTGATTTCTCTTCCGAGTGTTTGAAAGATATCTCAAGACTACCGGCGCTGCAAACACTGGTCGTTGAGTTCCCGACCGATGGCTATAATTTCAATGATAATGCTTTGAATGCTGTGTTGTCTTCGAGTCTAAAACTCAAGACAATTGAAATCCGTGTAAACAATGAGAAGAAGTTTTATTCAAAATAATATTGATTTAAATATTTTAATAACTTTGTATTTAATTTATATTTATATTTGCATATTCCTCAAATATTAATGCATTATTTTCGTAACATTTATTATAAAACTTTTATGCATATTCTAAAAATATTATTTTAACTGTTCGTTTGGTTAATAAATAACTTTAAATTACCATTTTAAATATTTATTAATTTTATTAATTAATGTTTTGGGTTTTGTAATATAGTTAATACCAATTATTAGAAATGGTAACTTTTTTATTTTTTAAGAAGATAAATAGATTTTTAATTGATTGTAATTTATTTATAAAACATTTTCATAAAACATTTGATTTTATAATAACTTGTAATTTATAATTTTAAAATATTTTTATTTTGATTAATATTAATAAATATTTTTATGACAAGTCATGGATTTAAACAACTAATTGTGAGATTTGTTATAAAAATGCAATTTTACAAAATTATTTAACAATTTAATTTATGTAACGAAGTGTTGAGTAAAAGTCATTTTCAATTTTTCACATATTATAGCGAATGGAAAACGAATCGACGCATTGATCACAAGTTTTGAGACAAACAGTATATGAGAGTCTCTTAAGATTTAACTTTTTGAACACTTTATACTTTAGAGTGAAACACTGGATCTCTCTCTCTCTCTCTCTCTCTCTC